CGCATGCAGCAATTTTTTCACTGATATATCTCCTAAAGCAAGGGACATGAAAGAAAGAATAAACAAGTGGGACCTCATCAAAATAAGAAGCTTCTGCACAGCAAAAGAAAACATCAGCAAAATGAAAAGGGAGCCAACCCTATGGGAAAATATATTCGCTAATGATACATCAGATAGAGGTTTGATCTCCAAGATATATCAAGAACTCACTCGACTCCACTCCAAGAAGACAAACGATCCAATCAAAAAATGGGCAAAGGACCTGGGCAGATGCTTTTCTAAGGAGTAGATACAGAGGGCCCAGAGGCATTGGAAAGGAGGTTCAGCATCACTAACCTTCAGAGAAATGCAGATCAAAACCACCATGAGGTACCACCTCACACCGGTCAGCATGGCCATCAAAGACAGATCCACAAACAACAGGTGCTGGCGAGGCTGTGGACAAAAGGGAACCCTTGTACACTGTTGGAGGGAATGCAGACTGGTACAGCCACTGTGGAAGGCGATGTGGACTTTCCTCAAAAAGCTGAAAATGGAACTGCCTTTTGATCCAGTGATTCCCCTGCTGGGACTATATCCTAAGAACACCAAAATGCCAATACAAAAGAACCTATGCACCCCAATATTCATAGCAGCACAATTTACAATAGCCAAGCATTGGAAGCTACCTAAGTGTCCATCAGTAGATGATTGGATCAAAAAGTGATGGTACATATACACAATGGAATACTACGCAGCAGAAAGGAAAAAAGAACTACTAAACTTTGCGGCAGCATGGATAGAACTGGAGAGCATTATGCTAAGTGAAATAAGCCAGGGGGCAAAAGACAAATACCATATGATCTCACCTATAAGCGGAACCTAACCAACAATACAAAGATGCAAGGAAAATATGACCAGCAACCCTGAAAGGAAAAGAAATCAACAGAGACAAGAGGGAGGGAGGGAGGGGCAGGCAGGGAAAGGGAAGGGAAGGGGAAAGTGAAGGAACATATAGCAAGAACTCATGGACAAAACCAAAGGGGAAGAGCTGAAGGAGGGAAGGAGGGAGGGGGTAAGGGAAAGTGGTGGTGGGGAGGCCGAGACAAATGTATTGAAAAATAAATAAAGAAAGAAAAAAAAAAGAAAGATATAGACAGCAATACACATATAGTAGAGGCTTTAAACACCCCACTCTCAACAATGGACAGATCTCCCAAAGAAAGAATCAACAAGGATATTGTGGCACTGAATGACACCCTAATCAAATGGACTTAACTGATATATACAGAGCCTTTCACATCAAAGAAGCAAAATATAAAGTCTTTTCAAATGCAAATGGAATAGTCTCAGAGATGGATCTCATGATAGGACACAAAATAAACCACTGCAAAGTCAAGAAAATTGAAATAATATCGAGCATTTCCTTGGATCCCAATGGCTTGAGACTAGATACCTACCTAAAGGAAAGAGCTCAAAAATATTCAAGCTTATAGAGATGGAATAACATGCTATTAAAAAAATGAATGGGTTAACAATGAGATCAAGTAAGAAATCATAGAGTCTCTGGAAACAAATGAAAATGAACACACAACAGCTAAAAACCTATGGAACACCGCAAAGGCAATCCTGAGAGGGAAGTTCATAGCAATACAGGCCTACCTAAAAAGGATAAAAACATTTCAAATAAACAACCTACCCTTGCATTTACAAGAACTGGTGGAACAACAACAAACCAAGTCCAGAGTGATTAGAAGGAAGGAAATAGTCAAGATCAGAGTGGAATTGAATGACACAGAGACTAAACAAACAATTCAAAGGATAAATTAATGCAGGAGCTGGTTCTTTGAAAAGATAAACAAAATTGATGAGCATTTAACCAGACTCATCAAGAAAAAAAGAGAGAGGAACCAAATAAATAAAATCATGAATGAAAGGAATATTTACAAGCAATACCACAGAAATACCAACATTTTCAAAACCTACTATGAACAACTATATGCCAGGAAATTTGAAAACCTAGATGAAATGGACACATTTCTAGAATTATATAGTCTTCCAACACTGAATCAAGAAGAAGCAGAAAGCCTGAATATACTGATAACAGCCGATGAAATTGAAGCAGTAACCAAAAATTCCCAGCACACAAAAGCTCTGGACAAGGTGGCTTCATAGACAAATTTTACCAAACATTCAAACAAGAACTAACACCTAATCCTCAAATTATTCAAAAAAAAAATTCATGTGGAGGAAAAATTCACTAACCCTTTTTAGAAGCAATTATTATCCTAATACAAAACCAGGTAAAGACACAACAAAGAAAGTAAATTACAGGCCAGTATCTCTGATAAACATAGATGCTACAATACTCAACAAAATATTAGCAAACCAAATATATCTATATATTAACAAGATCATACAGTATGATCAAGTGGGATTTTTTTTTCCAGGGATGCAAGGATAGTACAACATGCACAAATCAAAAACGTAATACCTCACATAAACAAAATGAAACACAAAAATCACTCGATCATATTAATATATGTTGCAAAAGCATTTGATAAAGTACAGCACCCATTTATGATAAAGACAACGAGCAAAGAGGAGTAGAGGGAGAATACTTCAACATAATAAAGGCCATATACGAAAAACCTGCAGCCAACATCATACTCAATGAGCAAAATCTAAAAGTTTTCCACTAAGGTCAGACATAAGACAAAGGTATCTGCTTTCACCACTTCTGTTCAACATGGTATTGGAAGTTCTAGCCACAGTGATCAGACAAGAAAAAGAAATAAAAGGCATTCACACTGGAAATGTGGAAGTAAAACTGTAATTATTTGCAATCACATGACAGTGTACTTGGAAAACCCTACAGACTTCATCAAAAAACTAATCATCCTAACATATGAATTTGGCAATCAGCAGGATTCATTATCAATAATCAGAAATCAAAGGCATATTTGTATACCAACAGTGAAAGATCAGAAATTAGGAAACAAATCCCATTTACTATAGCAACGAGAAAAATAAAGCACCTAGGAATAAATGTAACCAAGGAGGTAAAAGACCTGTACTCAGAAAACTATAGAACACTGAAGAAATTAAGGAAGACATAAATAAATGTGCACACGTACTGTGTTCATGGATTGGAATAATTAAAATCATCAAAATGTCCATACTATTCAAATCAATTTATAGATTCAATGAAATCCCTATTAAAATACCAATGACATATTTCACAGATATAGAAGAAATATTCCAAAAATTTGTATGGAATCATAAATGACCCTGAATAGCCTCAGCCATTCCGACAAAGAAGAACAAAGTAGCAGGGATCACAATATGTTATATCAAACTATATTACAAGGCCACTGTAATCAAAACAGGCTGGTACTAGAATAAGAATAGATACAGATCAATGGAACAAAACAGAGAGCCCAGAAGTAAACGCAATTCTCCATGGTCAATTAATATTTGACTAGGGGGCATGATCATAAAATGGGATAAAAAATAGCTTCTTCAACAAATGGTGTTGGGAGATCTTGAATGGTACATGCGAAAGAAAAAGAAACTAGACCACCAAATTACACCAAATAACATAATAAACTCAAGATGGAAAAAGACTTAAATATAAATCGTGAAACTATAGAAATCAGAGAGGAGAATGTAGGCAGGAAAATTTCAGATATCTCACATGGCAATATTTTCACTGATATGTCTCCTAGGGCAAGGAATATAAAGAAAAGAATAAACAAATGGGACTATATCAAATTAAAAAAGCTTCTACATGCCTAAAGAAAACATCAGCAAAATAAAAAGGGAACCAATTGTATGGGAAAGCATGTTTGCCAATGATATGCTGGACAAGGATTTGATCTCCAAAATATATAAAGAACTCACATGACTCCACACCAGGAAGACTAACAATCCAATTAAAAAATGGGCAAAGGACCTGAACAGACACTTTTCCAAGAAGGACGTACAGAGCACCATAGACATATGAAAGGATACTCAACATTACTAGTCATCAGAGAGATGCAAATTAAAACCACAATGAGATACTACTTCACACCAGTCAGAATGGCCATTATTAACAAATCAACAAACTACAGGTGCTGGCGAGATTGTGGAGAAAAGGGAACCCTAGTACACTGTTGATGGGAATGCAGACTGGTACAGCCAATGTGGAAAACAGTATGGAATTCCTTCACAAAACTAAAGATGGAACTGCCTTTTGACCCGGCAATTCCACTGCTGGGATTATAAGCTAAGATCCTGAAACACCAATTCAAAAGAACCTATGCACCCCAATGTTCATAGCAGCGTTATTTACAATAGCCAAGTGTTGGAAACAGCCTGAGTGCCCATCAGTAAATGACTGGATCACAACACTGTAGTAGGTTTACACAATGGAATACTACGCAGCAGAAAGAAAGAAGGAACTCCTACCCTTCACAGCAGTATGGATGGAACTGGAGAGTATTATGCTGAGTGAAATAACCCAGGTGGTGAAAGACAAAAAACATAAGATTTCACCTATAAGTGGAACCTAATCAACAAAACAAACAAGCAGAAACGAACCAGAGCAAGGGAAGTAAAGAACAAACTGACCATGAACAGAGGGAGTGGGGAGGGGATAATGGGGAAGAGAGGGGGTAGGTGAATGAGGAACATGTACAAAGGACCCATGTACAGGGACAATCGGATACAGGTTGTCTCTGGCAGTGGGGGTTGTATGGGGCGGGGGAGAGCAATGGGGGGAAGAATGGGGACAGCTCTAACTGAACAACAAAAACAAAAAGGAAGAAAAGTTAGCAATTAGAGTGGTGTAGTAATTTTCAACTCCTAGCTCAGTGTATTTTTCCATGATTTTATTTTTAAAGCCTGGCACATTTTTCTAGGAGTGGTTTTCATCATATCTTTTAACATTTACTTGCTGGTATTATGTATGTGTTATAGAAATGGATCTCTAGGAGCCTAACAACAGGGGAGAGAAGAGAAAAATGAGATCTACTCACCATGTTGAGGAACCCATGACCACCTCCCAGTAGTGGCAGCCACTGTCAATGAATATATTTCCTGCTGCCCCATAGCACCCTGTGCCACTAAATCTCTCTGGGGTATGGCTCTTCTTTAGAGAGCTTTCATCCTTCTCCATTTGCAATCCATCATTGGAGATCTTCAACTTCTTGTGAGTCATTTTGGGATCAAGTTTAAAGGGCTGGCCTGAACAAAGTAGAAAAAAGAAAATGCATGAGGATGTATTTAAGATTTATTTGTTCTCCAGGGATATCACTACTAGAGGAGCCCCAATATGATTATACTTGGGTCAGTGCATGTTGACTGCTGTGATTATATGAAGGAATCAGGCCAGAAGCCAACATTTTCAATAAAAAAAGGATATGCTGTCCCCTTCATATATTATTAAATTATAAGGGGACTCTTAGGGTCTCAGATGTGTTCTGTACTTAGCATTTATTTCACTGGATGGTGTGGTATTTGGGTGGACTTTAGGGGAAAAAGTATTTGAGATGAAACAGAGTGAGAGAATTGATGAAATAATTGCTGCTGGGTGACAGAACAAAGCTGAAAATAACTCAGCAATAGGACAAAATTGTTTTTCCCTTCTTACAACTTGGATGTAAATAATATAATTAAGTAACTTCATTAGAGTGATTATTGCATCACCAAAAATCAGAAGAAATATTTATTGGGCAGGGTCATTCACAACAGGGAATTCCTTATACTCATATGACAAAATCAAGTTACTAAGAACCAATTGTTCTATAGGGCAAGAGCTATATTATACAAAATTCGTATGTGGCAGATATTGTTGGTGAACAAAACATCCACTCCCTACTTCTCTCTTTCTCACTTTCACTGTAGAGGCCAGAAAAGCTAAATACTCCAGCACCCAGCTTCCCTTGCTACTACAGGTGGCAAATAAAATGGAAGTAATTGGAAGCAGAAGTCAGAAAAGGTGGGAGAACTTTCTGGGAAAGTCTATGTTTTCTTGTAAAAGGAATACTCCTCATGCATACCATCCATTTCTCCCCACTTCCTGTCTTGAAAGAAAATATGAGGAGAGAAAAGAAGATGGTGGAGGAGTGAATGGGAGATACGCGGACTTCCTCCCAAGACCAAACTGGAATTGCGACTAAATAATGGAGAAATCACCTGGAAAACAATGGAACGATAAAGGGAGAGGAGTCTTGGAGCTGCGGACAGACAGTGGATTCAACTCTCACACATCCCAACGGGTGAGAAGTGCGGTGGAGGCTCAAGAGGGTGGGCTGGGTGCCCACCCGCACCAGCACCAGAAGGACATCGAAAAGGCCAGTTGGATCCCTCTGAGAAGAACGGGGTCTACCATAAAGGGGGACCCCTAAACTACAGCAGCAGAAATTAGGAAAACACACAGACGAAATGAAACTCTGAAAAGCTTGGGGCGCTTTCTGCGAGAGACAGGTGGCTGGAGATGCAAAGAGACATTTAAAGGGTCAACACAAAAATTTGCAGTGGTAGCCACCTTCCTTGATCTCTGCGTAGAGATGGCAGGAGAGTGGGCTGGTGCCTGAGGAAAGATTGGCGAGGAAAGATTTGTGAAGAGAACCAACTATGGCCAGTGGAGACCCGGTAAAAACTCGACTCTCACTCTGCAGTTACCACCTCACCCAGGCATAAGAGAATCAATCTGCCTTTTGAATGCTTCGTGCACAGCTTGTGGGCAAGTGGACTGAGTGCAGACTGGCTGGAAGAAATAGAGGATCCCTGGCCAAAGGGGACACACAGTTGCATAGAGATCCTTGAGGTGAGACTGGAGACGAAGGGGTTGGGGAAAGAACTGGAGGATTATCTGAGATCCCCGGAGCAGAGTCCCTCCCCATTCTGTAGTCTCCAATCACGCAGGCAGGCCACGCCCCTGAAGAGGCAGAATCAGGTGTGGGAAGCAGAAGGCTTCCAATTACAGTCCACAGAAATAGTGGATCCCTAGCTGAAGGGGACACAGAGCTACCCAGAGACCCTGTAGAAGAGACTTGAGGCAGGATTAACAGGAGAGTCCCAGAGTTGACTTCTTCCCATTTCCGTAGTCTCCAGTTTGCACGGGCAGGTGACACCCCCAAAGAGCCAAAAGCGGGGAAACCACACAATAGAAAACCCTAAACTGACCAGTGCCGGGGCGCACACCCGGCGCCAGGCGAGCACAAGGTTGGGTGAGTCCGCTGATCCCTGGCAGGGGCGAAGGCGCTCAAAGAACTGGTGTGAAAGTGCAGAGCGATCCACAGAAATAGTGGATCCCTGACCTAAGGGGTCACAAAGCTGCCCAAAGCAGGAATAAGACATAGACAGTAGATTCCTGGAAGGCTCAAACAAACGACCCAAGGTCAGATACGGTCAACAACTGACATCATCAGAGGCAGACCCAGAAAGAAAAGTAAAGACAAATAAATAAATAAATAAATAACCCACCTACTACCATAGAAGTTTAATCTACAAAGCCAAGAAATCTAGACAGATCAAATGAAGCAGAAGCAAATATAAATAAATTAGATAATTAATTAATAGACTCTCACAAAGAAGAGAAGGAAAAGAAGTTCTCCCCAAATGAGTGGAAAAGGGGAATCCCCACAGAATTCATATATTGAATTCAAAACAACGGCTCCAAGGAAGCTCAATGAGCTCAGCCAGCTCAAAGATAACTATGAGAAACTGCAGAGAAACTATCAGGATCTTACAGCACACTATATCAACCCGGAAAAGGACATAGAAACTATCAAGAAGACACACGAGGACAGGAAGAATACCATTTCTGAATTGAAGAACACAGTAGAAGGAATAAAAAGCAGGCTGGATGAAGCCGAGGATTGAATCAGTGCGATGGAGGATAAGGTAGAAAAAAGCTCCCAGAAAGAACAATAAATGGAAAAAAGAATCCAAAAGAATGAAGAGATATTTAGGGTAATGCAGGACAACCTGAAACGTAAAAATATCCGTATAATAGGGATACCAGAAGGAGAAGAAGAGGAGCAAAGGATAGAGAACCTCTTTGAAAAAGTAATGATGGAAAATTCCCCCCAAATTGACGAGAGAAAAGGTCTCATGGATCCAGGAGGCACAGAGGACCCCACTCAAGAGGGACCCAAGGAGGCCCACTCCAAGACACATCATCATTAAAATGACAACTATCACAGACAAAGAGAATCCTCAAGGCAGCAAGGGAGAAGGAGAAAGTAACATACAAGGGGGCCCAGATAAGCCTAGGAGCTGACTTCTCAACAGAAACACTACAAGCCAGAAGGGAATGGCAACAAATACTCCAGGTAATGAAAAGCAAGGGCCTACAACCAAGGCTGCTCTACCCAGCAAGGCTCACAATTAAAAGAGACAGTGAAATAAGGAGTTTCCCAGACAAAAGAAGGCTAAAAGAATACATCTCTACCAAACCAGCACTACAACATATGCTAAAGGGACTGGTTAAGAAGATGAAGAAAAAGAGCGAAAAAGAGAAAAATACAGATACAAAGAGGAAAAATGAATAGGTTTCTATCAGTCATAACTCTCAATGTAAATGGACTAAATGCCCCAATCTAAACACACAGGATAGCCGAATGGATAAGAAAACATGACCCGCACATATGCTGCCTACAAGAGACCCACCTCAGAACAAAAGACCTACACAGATTGAAAGTAAAGGAATGGAAAAAAAATATTCCAAGCAAATGGACAAGAGAAGAAAGCAGAGGTTGCAATACTTATATCAGACAAAATAGATTTCAAAACAAAGGCCATAAAAAGAGACCCAGAGGGACACTTTATAATACTTAAAGGAAGAATCTATCAAGAAGACATAAACATTGCAAACTTATACGCACCCAACATAGGAGCACCCAAATACATAAGGAAAACCTTGGACAACTTCAAAAAAGATATAGACAGCAACACACTGATAGTAGGGTATTTCAACACCCCACTGTCAAAAATGGACACATCTTCCAAACAAAACATCAACAAGGATATCGTGGAGCTGAATGACGCACTGAATCAAATGGACTTAACTGAAATATAGAGAATCTTACATCCCCAAGAGGCAAAACACACATTCTTTTCAAATGCTGATGGAAGTTTTTCAAAGATAGACCACATGATAGGACACAAAGCAAGCCTCAGCAAATTCAGGAAAATTGAAATAATACCAAACTTTTTCACAGAACACAAGGGCTTGAAACTGGAAATCAACCTCAAAGAGAAACTTCAAAAATGTGCAAACTCATGGAGAATGAACAGTAGACGATTAAACAATGAATGGGTCAATAATGAGATAAGAGAAGAAATCAAAAAATTTCTGGAAACAAATGAAAATGAACATACAACAGTCAAAAACGTATGGGACACAGCGAAGGTAGTCCTGAGAGGGAAGTTCATAGGATTACAGGCTTACCTAAAAAAAGATAGATGCATTTCAAATAAAAGACCTAACACTACAACTTCAAGAACTGGAGAAACAACAACAAATAAATCCCAGAACAAGTAGAAGGAAAGAATAATCAAGATTAGAGCAGAACTGAATGACATAGAAACGAAAAGAACAATTCAAAGGATCAATGAATCTGGGTGCTGGTTCTCTGAATAGAGAAATAAAATCGTCAAGCCTTTAAGCAGACTCATCAAGAAAAAAAAGGGGAGAGGACCCAAATAAATAATATCAGAAATGAAAGAGGAGAAATAACAACTGATACCACAGAAATACAAAGGATTGTAAGAAACTATTATGAACAATTATATGCCAATAAATTTGAAAACCTTGATGAAATGGACACATTTCTGGAAGAGTATAATCTTCCAACACTGAATTAGGAGGAAACAGAAAGCTTGAACAGACCGATAACAGCTGGGGAAATTGAAGCAGTCATAAAGAAACTCCAGGCACAGAAAAGCCCTGGGCCGGGCGGTTTCATAGGAGAATTTTACAAAACATTTAAGGAAGAGCTAGCCCCTGTCCTTCTCAGACTATTCCAAGAAATCGAAGAGGAGGGAAGACTCCCAGAGTCTTTTTATGAGGCATCACCCTAATCCCAAAACTAGATAAAGACCCTACAAAGAAAGAAATCTATAGGCCAATTTCACTGATGAACGTAGATGCTAAAATCCTCAACAACATACTGGCAAACCACATCCAGCAATACATTAGAAAGATTATCCACCCGGATCAAGTGGGATACATCCCAGGGATGCAGGGATGGTTCAATATACGCAAGTCAATAAACGTAACACATCGTATAAATAAACGAAAAGACAAAAACCACACGATCATCTCGATAGACGCAGAAAAAGCATTCAGTCAGGTACAGCACCCTTTTATGATCAAAACACTCACAAAATCGGAATCAATGGGGCATTCCTCAACATAATAAAGGCCATATATGAAAAAGGTACAGCCAACATCATACTCAATGGGCAAAAACTAAAAGCTTTCCCGCTAAGATCGGGAACACGACAAGGATGTCCTCTTTCACCACATCTTTTCAACATCTTATTGAAAGTCCTAGCCACAGCAGTCAGACAAGAAAAAGAAATAAAAGGCATCCAAATAGGAAAGGAGGAAATAAAACTGTCATTGTTTGCAGATGACATGATAGTGTACATAGAGAACCCTGTAGACTCCATCAAAAAAACTACTCTATCTAGTAAGTGAATCTGGCAAAACAGCAGGATACAAAGTCAATATTCAGAAATCAAAGCCATTTTTGTTCACCAGAAATATAATAGATGAAGAAGAAGTCAGAAAAAAATACCATTCGATATAGCAACAAGAAAAATAAAGTACCTAGGAATAAATTTAACCAAGGAGGTAAAAGACCTGTATGCGGAAAACTACACAACATTGAAGAAAGATATGAAGGAAAACACAAATAAATGGGAGCATATACCGTGCTCATGGATTGGAAGAATTAATATCATCAAAATGTCCATACTACCCAAAGCAATTTATAGATTCAACACAATCCCTATTACGATACCAATGACATATTTCACAGAAATAGAACAGACATTTCAAAAATGTATAGGGGACCATAAACGATCCTGAATAGCTGCAGCAATTTTGAGAAAGAAAAACTAAGTAGGAGGGATCACAATACCGGACATCAACTCTACTACAAAGCCCGTATACTCAAAATGATCTGGTACCGGCACACGAACAGACCCATAGACCAGTGGAACAGAATAGAAAGCCCAGAAATAAGCCCAGGTCTCTATGGGCATCTAATATTTGACAAAGGGGGCAGAAGCATAAAATGGAGCCATAATAGCCTCTTCAACAAATGGTGTTGGGAGAGCTGGACGGCCACATGCAAAAAATTGAAATTGGATCATCAGCTAACACGATACAGAGAAATAAACTCTAGATGGATAAAAGACTTAAATATAAGTCGCAACACCATCAAAGTCCTAGAGGAGAACATTGGCAGGAAACTCTCAGATATCCCACGCAGCAATTTTTTCACTGATATGTCTCCTAAAGCAAGGGATTTAAAGGAAAGAATAAACAAGTGAGACCTCATCAAAATAAGAAGCTTCTGCATGGCGAAAGAAAACATCAGCAAAATGAAAAGGGAGCCAACCATATGGGAAAATATATTTGCTAATGATTCATCAGATAGAGGTTTGATCTCCAAGATATGTAAAGAACTCACTCGACTCCACTCCAAGTAGACAAATGATCCAGTGTAAAAATGGGCAAAGGACCTGGCAGACGCTTTTCCAAGGAGGAGATACAGAGGGCCCAGAGACATTTGAAAGGATGCTCAGCATCACTAGCCATCAGGGAAATGCAGATCAAAACCACAATGAGTTACCGTCTCACACCGGTCAGAATGGCCATCATAAACAGGTTCTGGCAAGGCTGTGGAGAAAGGGGGACCCTAGTACCCTGTTGGTGGGAATGCAGACTGGTGCAGCCATTGTAGAAAGCAGTGTGGAATTTCCTCAAAAAGCTGAAAATGGAACTGCCTTTTGATCCAGTGATTCCCTTGCTGGGACTATACCCTAAGAACCCCAAAACACCAATTCAAAAAAACCTATGCACCCCAATGTTCATAGCAGCACAATTTACAATAGCCAATTGTTGGAAGCAACCTAAATGCCCATCAGTAGATGATTGGATTAAAAAATTATTGTACATTTACATAATGGAATAGTATGCAGCAGAAACAAAAAAAGGACTACTAAACTTCATGACAGCATGGATCGAACTAGAGAGCATTATGCTAAGTGAAATAAGCTGGGGGCAAAATACAACTACCAAAAGATCTCACCTATAGTTGGAACCTAACCAACAGTACAAAGATGCAGGGAAAATAAGACCAGTAACACTGAAAGGAAATAAACCAACAGAGACAAGAGGGAAGGGGAGGTTGGGGGAAAAGGAAGGGAAGGGGAAAGTCAAGGAACATATAATAAGGACTCATGGACAAAACCAAAGGGGAAGGATTGAGGGAGGGAGAGGGTGTAGGGGGCAAGGGAAAGTGGTGGGGGGAAGGCAGAAACAAATGTATTTGAAATAAACAAACAATCAAACAAATAAAATATGACATCTAGAGTTTGTATTGGCCATAGTGTGACCATGTTGCAAAAATCCAATACAGAAAAGGAGGAGCCTGGGACTTTTACAATATCACAGAACTTCTGCAAGAGCCCTACCTTCAGGCCTCTTGCTATGTTAAGAAGACAAAGAAAATATACTTTGTTTAAGCTACTAACAAATAACTATTTGTTATGCTGTTAGTTGAATTTTCTGTCACTTGCAGTCAAAAACATTCCTAACAAGTATGGCTTCTCTGAAGTTGGATTTTACCAGATTATCACAAATATAGTCATGATCCACATAATGATATTTCACTTAATGATCAATCACATATAGGACAGTGGTATTCCATATAGCCTAGGTGTGGAGCAGGCTATACCATCTGGGTTTATGTAAGTATACTCAATAATATTCAAACAACAAAAAAATCACCTAATGATTCATTTCTCAAAATGTTTCCCCATTGTTGAGTGGCACATGTGTGTAGTATTTTTTTACCCATCTGTCCCCCAAGCTTGAGGGTGGTATGCAGCGAAAAACTCTTCACTAACATTTTTGCACGCCACCAAGGTATCCCATGTATATCTGTGTCCACATATATTCCAAGCCCTTGAACAAACCCCTTAACCAAAGCACAAACTGCAACAGTAAAGCTCCTCTATCCCAGGCCTCTGCTGTCTTGCACAGCTGCAGATGTCTGCTCAAGCTAAGTGTATTCCCTAGTACAAAGGGGTTTCTGATGTCTCCTTTCAGAATCACTGTAACCTACTGTTTGTTTTCAGTCGGGTAGGTTCACTGTTCCGGCTTCCTGCTTGGTTTATGGCTTTAACAATGAAGATGTAGCGTGTCCCACTCTGGAGTCCATGTACTGTGTAATGGTTCTGCTTAATGTTGGGCACAATCATCCAGCTATCCACCGAATTATACAGGCCTGCAATATGTGGAAACAGAAGGACATTAACCAGCAAGTTATAGAAATAGGATGAGAAACACACTGAAAATTCATCACAAGCCCCTCAAAAGTGAATTTTATTTTGTTTTCTTATGACTCCTGGAAGACACAGTGATATGAACCTCCTGTGCTTCCTTCCTCCCATAGAGCCAAATTCATGCCTGGTAACTTGTTTCTAATAATTGAATGCAACCACTAGCAAAAGTTAGGTTACTTCAATTTTATTCCAAACAATATAGGAAAAACTACTCTATAAAATCATAGAATAATCTCTTTTATGGAGTTTCAAGATTTTTTTTCCACAAAGCTCCAATCCTCTGAGAACTGAGTCTGGCCTCGTATGGATAGAGCAGTCCTGTGTAGAGAATAGGAACACTGAACCTCAAAATGAAAGGACACCTAGACCCATATTTTCCCTCATTTCACAAACGAGAAACAAATGGATAGAAGAAAAGTAACTTGCCCTGGGCCACAGATACCTGGTAATGGTACTGACAGTAAAACCCCAGTCCCTTTAATACTCCACTACATCACAAGCCATAGGGTGAAAAACAATGTTTTGCTGTCACTGTAAGGTAACAACTCTTTCAGGGCTTATGACTCAACACTCTCACCTCATTCTCACTCTTACTTCCAAGACTAGTTGGGCTCAAAGGTATCACAAGGAAGCCAAAGTGGTGATAGGATAACCAAAACAAAATATATCTTCACTTGACACTACAGTTTTATCCCTTCCTGGTTCTGATTTGAATAGTCATTTGAGGTTGGATGGCCCAGAAACACAATATTGTCTGGAATCTTCTTTCCTCCAAAGTAGGGAAAAGGATCAGAGATCTATATACTTGATTTTGAAACTCTTTAGACCATAAATATTGACTTAAACAGAGAAAAAATATACACAATTAAAATGTGCATTTGGATGTACACATATATAGATATTTGTGGATTACCTATGTTTCTTCTGTTATCTTGTTTTCAGTGAGTTTACTGCTATTTAAACACAATTATATCAGCGGTTAGAAAGGAAAGGGCAATGAAAACCAGTGGTGAATTTAGTCACTTCTATGTAGCTGTAGTAAAGGGTGTAAGTGAGCTTGAAAATAAAAACAAGTTAATTTTTTGAAAGTAATCTGATGAAGGGTATATAATTAATTTGAGGAGGAAGTATAAACATTCTAAATTAAAGCTAGAAAAAGAAGCACAATGGAGGGCAAATAGATATGCTATAAAAAGAAGAATAATTGGTGGAAATGCTCAATGATTCTTAGGAAAAGACAATAAAGGATAAGAACCAGGGACAATGTTTGAGGGTTCGGCTGTCTATGTATCAATGCATAGTATGAATCATAAACTGCATGTGGAATTTTAATACAAAGAGGGAAATATATGATCTTCCAGATACACTCCTAACAATACAAGACAAAACAGATTTCACAATGAAGTATTGTGCAGTAGTAAAAAAGTGTGAGGATGATCTCTATGAACTGATATACAATAATGTCCAGGGTACATTGTTAAATGAATAAAGCAAATTATATAAAAGCCTATATATAATATACTAACATTTTTCAAGAAAGAAAGACAAATAAGAAAGCATGCATACATGTGCCTGGAGCTATAAAACAATAACAACTGAAAGGAAAAACCACAAAATAATGAAGTTGGTTACCTACAAGGAATGGGGGTGGGAGGTACAGGATTAAAAGGACATGGGAGAGAATGACATTTCTCTGAGTATATCTTTTTTTGTATAGTTTCGCCTTTTGGAAACACATTGTTGTTTTCTAAATTCAAAAATTAAAATGAAATCAATATAACTGGGAAGGGTGAGGACTAAAACAGTAGGCAAACTGCAATACATTTGCATTTCAACTGTATTTCAAATGCAAAATAACCACACCAAAGGATGGGGGCAGGAGGAGAATCGCAAACAAGTCTTGAACTATTGTTTGTTTTTATAGTGGTATGGGCAAAGCAAATTCTGAAACTATTGTTGATATACTATGGGAGTGAACAAATGAGTACTTGTATTAATGTTGTAAGCCAGGATTCTCATTGTTGAAGATGGAACATATAAATATGGAATGGGGAAAGACAAGAAAGATCCTGTGAGAGGAGAATCAAGATGGTGGAGGTGTGAGTGGAAGTCACACTGATCTCCTCCCAGGACCAACCTTGAATTGCAACTAAATTGTGGAGAAATCACCTGGAACAAACAACTGAACAATAGTGAGAGAGGAGCCTTACAACCTCGGAGACAGAAGAATCAGCTTTAGTGCAATCTAAGTGGTAAGGAGTGTGGTAGAGACTCAAGAAGGCAGGCGGGGCACCCATGGGAAGCAGCATGAGAAGGATACTGAAAGGGCCAGTTGGATCCCTGTGAGAAGAGCGGGGTCTAAACCAAAAGCGGGAATCTCCAGCCTACAGCACCACAGCCCAGAAAGTAAACAGAAAATAGCCAATTGTGAAAAGTGGCACAGTTGCTTTCTGACAGAGACAGGCAGCTGGAAATGCAAAGAGCTATTTAAAGGGCCAACATATAAGCTTTTATTTGCAGCCACTTACCCTGGTCTCTGGCAAAGACGGGGACAGAGTGGGCTAGAGATGCCTGAGGAGAGACAGGGGAAGAAGGTTTTGGGGAGAGAACTGAGAGAGGAGCCTGGGAGATCTCGGTGCTGACTCCTCCCTCATGCGGCAGCATCTAGCTTGGTCAGGCAGAGACAACACCCCCTGAGTGGCAGCAGTGTCAGAGGACCCAATAACAGCACCCTCCAGGTGGGATTCCGTCCCACCCTGTGCTGTCTAATCAGTCTGCTGAGTGCAGAGTGACTAGATTAAGAACTGAAGGAGACAGCCACAGACAGTAGAATCCTAGAAGTCTCGAACACACTGCCTAAGGTCAGACAGGGACAACTTCTGACATTATCAGAGGCAGATCTAAAAAGTAAAAACAGTGTTCTCCTACCATAGAAGTTCACACCACAAAGTCAGGAAATTAAGACAGATCAATATAAGAAGCAAAAGCAAAAAAGAAGAGTCTCACAAGTAATGGGAAGATAAAAACATACACCCCACTTGAAGGGAAAGGAGGAAGCCCTAAAAAGAGAACTAAATGAAATAGAGGCAAGTATCAGATATTGAGTTCCAAACAACGGTTATAAGGAAGCTCAATGAGCTCAGTGAGCTCAGAGAGAATTACAAAAAAAAAAAAAAAAAAAAAAAAAAAAAAAAGGGAAACGACGAGGAACTTACTGCAAACTATATCAGCCTGAAAAAGGACATAGAAATTACTGATAAGAGGCAAGAGGAAATGAAGGATATGATTTCTGAATTGAAGAACACAGTAGAAGGAATCAAAAGCAGGCTAGATGAGGCAGAGGATCGAATCAGCGAGCTGGAGGACAAGGTAGTGGAAAGCTCGCAGAAAGAGCAAGAAAATGAAACAAAGACTCAAAAAGAAAAGAGACACTGAGGGTAATGCAGGACAACCTGAAAGGTAATAATATCTGTATAATAGGGATACCAGAAGGAGAAGGGGGTGAGGAAGGGATACAGAACCTGTTTGAAAAAGTAATGATGGAAAACTTCCCTAATTGGAAGAGAGAAAAAGTCACAAAGTCCAGGAGGCACAGAGGGTCCCATTCAAGGGGAAACCAATGAGGCCCATTCCAAGACACATCATAATTAAAATGGCAAAAATCAAAGACGAACAGAGAATCCTAAAAGCAGCCAGGGAGAAAGAGGTAGTAAAATACAAGGGAGCCCCGATACAGCTAGCAGCTGACTTCTCAACAGAAACATTGCAAACCTGGAGAGAATGGAAAGAAATATTCAAAGTAATGAAAAGCCAAGGCCTACAGCCAAAAGACTCCTCTACTCAGAAAGGCTTTGAATTAAAATGGAAGGTGAAATAAAGAGATTCCCAGACAAAAGAAGGCTAAAATAATACACCTCCACCAAACCAGCACTGCAAAATATGCTCAAGGGACTGCTTCAAGATGAAGAGAGTCTATGAATACTGAGTTCCTTTCACATTTGCCAATACTTGATATTAGCAATATTTTTAGTACATATTAATCTGATTGTGACAATGATGTGTTATTTCAATTGTTCTTTTATTATTTGTTGAAACTAAACCTGTTTTTGTGTATTTATTGCCTATTTCTATTATTTCAAAAAAAAAAGCTTTAAATGATGTTTTGGTATTCTTTATTCATTTATCTATTAAAGGCTTGTGGAATTTTTTTCCCTAAAAAAATAAAAACAAAAATAACTATTAACCCTTTTTTAGATGTTTCACAAATACTTTCCATTCTATTACTTGTCCTTTAATTTTTTATATGTATATTACTATATAGTCTTAAATGTTTAATATAGTTATATTGTCAATATTTTACTTTATAACTCCTGGGTTTGAATATTTTACTTCAGGGTAAGAAAAATATTCGTTTGTATTTTCTCCTAAAACTCATTAGATTCTACATATTAATTTTTAACTCACCTGAATATTTCTTATATAATTTGTGAAATAGGGCTTTATATTTGTTTTCGTTCAAGTATTAGTGGTTCATGCACCTTATTTGTTGAATTAGTCTTATTTTCCCCATGGATTTGAAATACCGATTTAATTATTTATTACATTGTTAGACAGAATACACACATACACACATTTGTTTCCTGAATGCTCATTTCATTTCATTGATCTACTCGATTATTTCTGTGCTAGTGTCACTTTGTTTCAATTGCTGAGACCTTATAATGGTTTTAAATTTTTTACTATTTTATAATTTACTTTGACATTTAAAAAATAAATAAAATCAATATGCATTTAAAAAAGAAAGAAAGAAGAAAGAAAGAATGAAAGACAGAAAGATTGAACTCCTACCATTTGTGACAACATGGATGGAACTGGAGAATATTATGCTAAGGGAAATCATCCAGTTGGTGAAAGACAAATACCATATGATCTCACCTATAAG